ATATGAATTTGAATGTAAAATGTAATGGGGCAGCTTTTCATCATCTGAATGAACTATTCAGCCCCGATTGCAATGAATGAGGGGAAAAAAAAAAAGGATCAAATACACCTAACAAATCTACATCAGGAGGGAACCATAAAAAGATACAACCGAGATAAAACCTTATGTGAGGAAGTTAACTGAGAAGAGTAAATCCTCATAACTTTAGGAAGAAGTACCTGTACACAGCAGTCCCTTCTGCCACATGATCTTTAAGAGAAGCTAATGATGTAAATGAAGTTGCACAAATTGCCTTGCATTTGGAAGCTGCCACCCATGCCTTGTACATTGGACCAAGAGAGCAGCAGGCTCTTCTGCATTTGAATTGGTTTGGAGGGACCTGCACAGCTGGGTGACATGGGTGCATGAACAGCTAGGTACAGAATGAAGCAAGAACTATCACATCTCATCTGTTCATTTCAAGTGACCCAAGTGATTATCACCTGGGCCTCCAAATCTCGTCACCCTGTCGTGGACACTGTCTATTTTACAGCCATTATAACCTAATTTCAGCTAATGTGATTTACACATAGTAATTAATGGAGCTTCAGCTGTAAGGAAATTAGTCATTCAATTTTAGTTTAATTTACAGCACACGCATACATTAGAAAGCACAAATTCCATAGCTGTGAACTGGGCATGGAGAAAGGATTGTGTACTGGGAAGGAAAAAAATAAAACACCCAAAACCCAATATGCTGCTGTCCTTCCACACCTCACACTCCTGAAGTTTCTCCTTGATGGGAGGATGGCACACAAATAAATCCAGGCATCTCAGTACAGATGCTTGGAGATAGGAAGGTAAAGTCCCCGCTGCCACTGCTATCCAGTTTTCCAGCTGCAGGAAACACAAGCCTGGCGTGCTAGTGTGCATGGCCTCATCCTGATCCCTAAAGACATTTGGGGTGTGTATCTATCAGAGAGAGCAGGGTGGGTTCATGGGCTATGATGGTACAGGCTACGCCAGCTACAGAAGATGCTGTGTCTGTGGCATACACATGAACAACGGCAGCAATGGAAAACCGTGCCTAAAAGCCAGGACAAGCTTTCACAGCAAAACCAGCATTTCATCTGCAGCCACCTTAAGTTAAAGATGGCCTCATACCAGCCTAGCCATTAGAGAATCTAATAGCCATGCCCAAGCAAAGACAAAAACAACTCCTGAGTGATCCTCACTGGCCCATGTGGGACCAGGAATGCCCCAGTGGGACTGGCACTCTCCCAGCTTAGGGAATGACCTGCAGGAGATACCCACAAGATCAGCTTTTCTAGGGTTTCTCCCCAGAACGCCTCCAGCTTTGTGCCATGAAGCATCTAGCTATGTTACTTGCATAAAAAGGAAAGCACTCAGGCCTTATTTTAAAGTAAAGGTGGACTAATTAAAACAAATTTCTCAAGGTGGTCCATGTAGTCTTTTTTGTGCCATTAAATTCCACACCTGCAACATAACTGTAACATCTTCCCTGTTAATTATTAGAGCATATACCTGTGGAAGGCTTACACACAGGGAAAGGTTGAAAATGCTTCCTGGTACAGCACACATTCGAAATTAAATTCTAGATAGAGTGTATGCAATTTGGTGCAAAAATATTATAATTAGCTTTACAACGTATTGTGCTAATTTATTAATAGGTTTCACTGCTGATGACAGTTCTGTTATTTAACTGAATGATAAATATAAGCAATTTTGTCAGAAAATTATTTCTACCAGCTAAATGTCTGTGTGGCTCAAATTGCATCTTCAAACAAAACACTGACATGAAAGAAATAAAGTGCAGGCCATGAACGTTACCCAGATGTACAACACGTACACATTTGTTATCCCATTGAGAGTTCAATACTGAACACAAGTCACCCAAAGTTATATCTTCTATCTGTTCCCCAACTTGCTAAGGGGCCAGCATAGCACAGCCAACAACACACCTACTTACCTTACTGAACAGAAATGAGTTTAAGCACACACTTAACGTCTAATCCAGCACTTGGGTGCTCTGTCAAGTCTTCAACAATCCCTAAAAAGAAAAAAAAGAGAGCACCATTGCCCTGCATGGATTTTAAAGACAGTATTTGCAGGGGCCTTTTTAAATGTGTCTCTGCACAGAATGTAAAATTCAAGTGACCACAGCACATTGTAGATGGCCACAAGGCACCACAGGCCCCCTGTAAATCAGCTTTTCGAGGTATTGGTATCCTCACAGTAGAACCACCTGACATATCTCAGCAGAAATTGAAGATACCTTCACGATGTTGACCTTACACAAATACTTTTCCAAAAAACAATGCATAGCAATATTTAAGGTTCAAAATGGACCCACTGACACCCCAATTCCTTCTACACAAAAAAGCTCTTTCTTTCTCTGTCAGGTTTTTTTTTTAAATAGTTAAATAATAATTTAAATAATAAATAATCCTTAAAATATGTTTCATTCAACAGTTTTTAAATGGAAGGGTCAGCAAGGAGTTTGGGGGAAAAAAAACACAGATAAAGAGATATAAAAATAGGGGGGATACATTTGTAACAGTAGAGTTTCTTCAAAAGAAAAAAAAAAAATAGACAAAAGAAACCCCCATCTACACCTTTCCCCTCCAGAAAGGGGAAAACCAAATCCAAACCTACAGGTCAAACTACACTAGGTATCCCCGGGAAGAATCCCACAATTTCCTGAAGAAATCCATGCCCCTGCCTCCCTCTGCTGGAGCTCAGCCTGGAACTACAGCTGCTCATGTGAAAAAGCACCTTCTCTTCCTCTACAGCTTTAAGGGTTTTCCCACTCACAAGACATCTGCAGTTTAGAGAGGGTTTATCATTTTTTTGCAAAAATATAACTTCCTAGTCACCCAGCACCATGCTAGAAAAGAAGTGACATTTCCTTTAATATAAACCAACCACTGACATTTCCTTTAATATAAACCAACCACTGTCAAGATTTTGGGGCAGGGAGGCAGAAAGTTAAATTATTTTATACAAACAAACAAACAAATCACTTTTTTATAATTTCTTCTTTTTACCTACTTTACTTCAAATTTATCCTGTATTTCACCAAGCAGTGTTTATCTGGCCTAAATCTAATTCATGGCGCTTCCCTCTACTAATTTAGAGTTACAGCTCCCTGCATCCATATACAAGCTGGGCCAGTTGTGTTGTATCACCCTCCTGTCTATTCTAGCAAAGTCCAATTTTTTCCCCTCGGAAGCAGCTTCCACAAACCCTGAAGGTATTTGCAGCATCTCTGCTTGGATGGACGGCTTACTCTGATCTAGAACAAGAGGCTATGAAAAGGAGTGTGACAACAGAAGGGCAGAAATTAATCTATTCACACTGAAACACTACAAGGTGTTTCCAAATTATGCTTAGGCCACTATTGCACAGGGGGTGCAGCAAAGCAGACTTTATTTCTAGAATTTATTTACTCTTCGGTTACTAGTCCAGAGTTTCAGAAGTGTTCAGTGTAAAATTGGCTGAATTCATTCCTAAATCCTATCAAAAAGACACATACAGGAGTGAGCACAAAATGCTGCTTCTCCCTGTAAAGTTTTATGCAAACTTGCCAGGATGGGTGAGACAGTCCATCTTTAAATGACAATCCAAATTCTTATTTAAAAATGGTTATTAATGGACACACCAGACAACAGAACAACCAACAATTTGATAATGTAGTAGTAACACTCTTAAGAGTTGTGTGTCTGCAGTTGGTATTTTTAATTGTGTGAAGATCCTCGATCACATTTTTGCATCTGTCTCTGAAGGTGTTGTAAAATGATGCACAACTATATACCTGCTATTTTTCAGGAGAGAAAGTATCAGCATCCCTTCTCACATCATGAAGACTTCCAGTACCACTGCAGTTCTTTTTCTTACATCTTCTATAAAGTTACCTTGACTATAGAGGAGACCCACCTTTGAAGAAGTATTAGATTTAGCCTCTGTGAGCTCAATAAAATTATCCTTGGTTTGCAGACTTTCAGCGTAATCCCAGCTGTCAGCTTCAATCTTTGAGGAAATACTTTTTTTTTTTTTTTTTTTTTTTTTTTTTTTTTTGTTAAATTCACTTCAACACATTCACATCTTGCAAGAATATACCTGGACTTTTAGTGGCAAAATGTAGGGATCAGTAGTCAGAGTACTTCCACCCCACCCCACCCTCCTATTATTAATTATATCGCTTCCCAACTTTTAACCACCACAGAATCTCACTATGAATTGTTCTCGTAGAACCATGCAAGTTTAGCGTTCATTTTGCCCACTTAATAATAAGAAGTCTCATGACTCTTCTCCAAGCATTTTTCTCATGAGTGCAGTATTTGGCTTGAAAGCCTATGGAATGCAACTAGTGCTATTTTAAAATCATTATTTCTCTACTGTATCCTGCAAATAAAAACTGGAGTTAAAAGGCATTGTGTACAAGCCATTTAATTTAAACCTAGTCTTCATTCTCGAGTTTGAATACTTGACACTGCTTATGCTTTACAAGAGTTTTTCCTGCATGATACGCACTTCAGAAGTACTATGAAAGATACCATAATCTCACCTAGAACATTTTCAAATTTTATTTGCAGCTATGGCAATTACAAAGAATATAACAATATAAATCTGCATTTAAAGTGACAACCCTTTCTAATAAACAAACAAGGTCACAAATTAGTTTGCACCTATTCTGGCTTCGGGCAATTTTCATAGGATGGAAATTTTCCTGCATGACAGCTTGTCATGTTTTACAGCATTGCTTTTTCATAGTTCAATACATAAGAACAGAAATACATCTGTTCCTACTTGCAGAACACTCACAGGTATTTCTGAAATACAGAAATACAACTTTTAATTAATGACTTTCATTTGTTCTATTGAGAGGATGAAAAAGAAGAATCTATCTGTGGCTTTTGTCAAATCATATAATACACTAACAGCTCTGATTCTCTCCTCCCTGAATTTATTCTCCAATTATGACTTCTTCGTTTTTTTAAAACAGGAGTTGGGCTAGAATCACTGGCTTGTTTACAACCCTGCAGGAGACTGAGGTAAAAAAACTCAGACAAAGAGATACACACTATTACAAATGCAAACAGCCATCAAATTGTCCAGTTTATTTATGGGAATCCAAAATTGATACAAAACATGCCTTCTTTGCATGTTGTATTTTACCTTTAAAATGTTTCCAACAGCGTCAGGTAGATTCAGAGTTAAGAATATGCTTCAGCTTTCAGCATGTACCTTTTATAAAGGTATTACACAAAAGCCACCAACTTCCATAACACGTGGTCCCAAAATTGCTTTCAGACATTTTATTTATCAAAAGACTCAGATCTTCTGCTGATCTGATGAAATTAAAGGCTTAAAAATGTTTTAAGCCATTAATAAGTATCCTATGGCAGAGTCAAGAAAGTTTATGATTTCCATTATAATCTTGGGCATAAAAAGGCAACAATCCTAGAAAAGCAGCCCTCCAGAATATATGGAATGTGATAATGGGTATGATGTCAATTTATAATGATCAAGTTAAGTAAAACAGATTTTTAAAGCCATGAATGATGTGAGCAGTATCACAGCAAAATATTTAATGAGTACCACAGAACCAATCAAGTTCGAAATTTGAGCAGATGTTATTTCAATCAACAGATTTGTAATGTCAAATATACCAAAATGTTTTCTAAAATAAATTCCTAATGCAGAAAAATTGATTTAAAGTTTTCTCCTAGCTAATAGTACCTCTTATTTAAATTGGACCCTAAACTGATCAGACAATACATAGCCCACACTTTTGGACATTTATAATAAAAAACCTTTATTTTCAATTGAAACAAATGCACCATCCTGCACTTGAAGGCTATAATGAGCCATAAGCATATTCCAAGGTGTATCAATGGCAACAGATTTGTTTCACCTCCACTGAGAAGTTACATAATGCACTCTTAATTGGTAAAGAAAAATGAAACTCAGCCTTCTCAAAGCTTCTGTATTGTGTTTCTTGGTTATTGTACAGTTCCACAGTCAGACCAAGAGTTTGCAGTGTGTGCAGATATTGTAGTCAATCATAGTACTGTTTAATCATCATCTTCCTCCTCTTCTTCTTCCTCCTCAAAACTGTCTTCAAAGCCCTCACTGTCTTCCTGGTCCTCATCACCTTCTATTGCTGTATCCCACTGTGGATGATTTTCTGGCACTGGTTTTGCTTCATGAACTTCCAGCTGTAATTTGATAAAGAAAGAAAAGACAAGGGGAAAAGGGTTACAAGCAGTACACACCAGTTGGGGAAAACAAAACAAAACACCACACCACACAAAACTGACAGTTTAACACTGCCCCCCCCCCCCCCCCCCCCCCCCCCCCCCCCCCCCCCCCCCCCCCCCCCCCCCCCCCCCCCCCCCCCCCCCCCCCCCCCCC